AACAACAACTGTGCTAACCGCAAGGTCAGCAGTTCAAACCCACCAGCCACTCTTGGAAACCCTATTTAGGGTCACAATGAGTCAGAACAGACTCAGTAACACACAACAACAAGAAGCAACTACTCATCCTTAAACTAAGGATTTCGGGACTGCAGTGACTGGTGGGTTTGTGTGCATTGCGTTCGGGGTGGGGCGGATGCAGGGGCTTGTGTGGGGCCCTTCAAATCATGCTATAGAGATCATACGGGCATTAGGCCTGCTCATCACGCTGATCTGCCTCTGCATGTGAGACAGCAAAGCTTGTCTTCCAATAGCCCACCTTTGCAGGCATGAAGGGTTTCAAAGCACAAGTCAACCGAGGCACACTTCTGCAATTCACACCACCCACATGCATAGGCCATTCGGAACCACTCAAAAAATCTCTTCAAGGAATAAGGGCACACTGCTTCTTCCCAGAAATTAAGCAGGAGTGTACTTGACTCACCAGTTAAAAAGACAAAAAACAAGCAAGCCATCAGGAACCACTTCCATTGGGGCACCACACTTGGATGCTACTGAGATGCTGATAACAGCGAGAGGAATTGCCCTTCTGTGGATATACCGAGTATGCAATGTCTGATTGCATACAAAGCCACTTGTAGTTTTCATGACTTGGGGTGGGGGTGGGGGGTGGAGGAGGCATCTAGGAGCCAGGGATGCTTCTACCCATCCTGCAATGCACAGGTTAACCTGTCACTCCTCCCACCTGGAGAAAGTGTTTTTCAATACAAAATGTCAGCGAAGCTGCTGCCGGCACAGCCCTGGGATATACCAAGATTGTACTGTGAGGTCAGTGTGCGGTCCAGACGAGGGAACTAGGTGGGGATGTGGAGAAGACAGGAGATGCTGCGGAAGAAGCCCAGGGTGGAAGCATCTAAAGTAAGCATTGTGGCCTCCCTGGGGTTGACTTTGAGAAGAAACCCCTCTAGGAACCTGATTAATCGACATTCATTGCCTGGAAGAATTCAACCTAATCTACTGAACATGCTCCCAGAGGCGGGGTGTGTCCTCCCCCAGGAAGAAGTCATCAGAACTTCCCTTGATACTCACCAATCAGACACAGATGAGCAAGAAGAGATTTCTGGGGAAAACAAAAGCAAAGACTGTGCAGCCCCTGAAGGTAAGCCATGGTGAAATGCTCTCTGTCCATCCACGGACACCTTCTGTCTAGCTCTGACTCACTGGTGTGTCCTGGGGAGGACTGTACAAGCCTGACCCGTTCCTTTCAGTGCCATGTTTGTGGTGGCCATCCATCATTTTCTACTGGAAAGTTTCAATGCCATGGCTTATGTGCCAAAGAAAAATATAAAGCAAACTATAAGAAGAGTTCCCCGGGACCATCTGAATGTGAACACTGAGAAGCCAGGGGATGGGGATCAAATTTGAAGGCTCCTCCAAGGAGCCCCTAAATATAGGAATACATGGAGACCAACAGGCTCACTGGTCATCCTTATGGTTTGACAGCAGCAGAGCAAAGGGAACAATTACAGAGGTCAGTGACATTTTGCTCTATAACCACATGGAACGGTATCTCAACTACAAGTCTCCAAGCTGCTCATCTCAGAAACACCTTCCTCTCTCTTCCCTGTAAATGTCTTTGGGATTTACCAGATCCCAAGAGGGAGAAATACCATGTTTAGCAAATGAAGGTCTTTCTCAAACCCACTCGCTCAGGTAGACAGACCTGAGATAAAAACTGACCTGGGGGAAAGAGGAAAAACTCTTTGAGTCCGTGAAATAGATTTGGAGATGTCAGCAGTGGAACAAGAAAGGGTTATGGGTAGAGTTGAGCTAGAGATAGGACAAAGACCCTGGAGAAGCTAGAGGCTGAATCTGAGGATCAGATGGTGTTCAAGATCAGAAGGACTTGTTAGTTGGAGGGAGGCCACTGTCTCACAAAAGAGGAAAAACATAGCTATCACAAGTTCAATATCTCATTTCCCCCAAGGATGCTCTCCTGATGCTTTGAAAATAAGTCTTCTACAGTTCTTAATAGAATTAGGCCCAGAAACAACCAATCTCCTCTAAGTCAAATTAGAGCAGATACTGAACTACTTATTTCTCAAGATGTTTGTGTGGACCTCCACCGACTGAAAAAAATACTGAAAACTAGAGGTCTTCTGATCCCTAAGAAAAAAGACAACAGCTTCAACAAGCTACTGCATTCTTAATACACAATGGTCTTCCTACCACCTGTAATCCAACCTTCACCAAAACTATGAGCTGGACAGGCAATGGGTCTCAGGCACCATCTTGAACCTGAGTTGGAAGCAAGAAGGGACACTTAGTGGTGCCTGTGGATGTCTGAATGAACAAATGAGTGAGTGAAAATTCAAGCTAGCCTAGCTGTGGTCATCCTCCCAACATTCCCCAGAAGTGAAGCAGGTTACTCCAGAAGGTACTGTGTGACAACAAGCAGCTCTGGGTTACCTGTGGCTTCAGAGGTTTAGGCAGCCCAACAACACACAACAGCTAAGTGGAGTGTTTCCCCTTAACTGTGTGTGCTCTGTCTTCTCCTGCAATGACCACTGACACACCACAACACTGGTGTGCAACAAAGATGGAGGAGAGGAGGAGGTGGCCCAAACCAGACTGGGCCAGTGTGTGAGCCTGGTAGAGTTCCTCCGGTCTCCTGAGATCAGACAAGGTCTGTATTCGCAGGGTGATGATACCCCAGGGAAGAAGGAGAGTGTGGTGCAGGGGATGGACCAGAAGGGAGGTCCAAGCTTCAGAGTACAGCTTTAGGCAACTCACTGCATGTCTTTCAGTTTGTTTCCACATCTGTAAAATGGGGACGACGCAAACACCTTGCAACGCTGTTTGTGAGGATCAAATGAGTTCGGTGTGTGAGATCCTGTTAAACGGTCAAGTAGGATGCCATCCAAAGATGCACCATGGATAGCAAGTGCTTGGCATGTAAGAAGCACCTGGCAAGGATTTGAGGGATGAAGGGATGCTATTCATAATCTACCTTCAGAGTCTGCCTCCCTTTTTCATCCCTGGATTCAAGAATTAACTCCTTGTTGTTCATGACATTCTTAGCCCATTTAGCAAAACCATCAGTTAATAAAATGAACCTGGAGAAAGCCGGCTTTGTGGGTGAAAATATTACAAAGCATGGAAGACG